TTTGGAAAGATTGCCTTGCACACATCCTTAAATGTCAGCTTTAATTATGTCTCCCAGTCTCCAATACTTTCATCAGTGAGCTGAAGTCCTTTGAAGAGGCCTCTTTCCTCAAAGGACTATAGCTCACTGAAGTCAGGATACTAGGTAAAATAATCTGTAGCTAATGCAACTTGAAATAAACTCTCATTCTGGGTTTCTGATTGCTTGAGAGATGAGATTAATAACTAAAAGCACATTGATTTGCCTTATACCAATCCACATGGCCAAGCTTAAGTCATCTCATTCCATCACTATCTCAAATAACATGGTGCAAATCACCTCCTCCATCTGTTACAAATCCTATAGTCTAGTTTCTTCTAGAATCAGGTACAAGCTCTTTCCTTTGTAAAATGGCAAATAAGAAAATAAATTAAAGAAATCTAAGATGTCCATAGGAAGTAAATGCTAGACAGGATTCTACTTTCTTTGTACTGTTTGCTTTCACAGAACAAGTCAACTTCCTGAAAATAACTGAGGCTGAGATCCTTAGTTGTTTAAGCTATATGTCTCAGGTAGTTTGTATGGAGCCCCCACTGCAGTCCTGGGCAATGTGGGACTCAGCACAGAAGTACTCAGCGTGTCGTTCCAATGGACTGAGGGTTTCCTCAGGAGGAAGGAGTTTTCATTCTTCCTAAATTCAAACTCAAAACCATTAATTCCTGAAACAACAATTCCTGATATGTACTTCAGGAGAAGCTGGAGTCCTTGGCTGGGGTATTGCACATATCAGAAAAGATATGGTGGAACAGAAGATCAATAATAGTTGCACCTCAGCTCCAGAGGGGCTCCTTCAGAGACAGCGACATGAACGTCAGGCTGGGTCACACTGGGCACTGGTTTTTCCTACGTGCCAATGCTATGTCAGTGAACTCAGCTAACACAAAATGTCTGTATTCAGAGTCAAATAGATAATGCTCCATTTGTGGACGAGAGAGTAAAATGGAATGATACCCACTCGGGAACAGGAGGACCCCAAGCATCAAGACACACACTGAGATCTAGCCAAGCACTGAGGGAGCAGCATGCACCTTTCCAGGAGATTCCCCACAGACACAATCTCACCACGGGGTAACTTGAATCCAGGATGAAGCTAAGGAGAAATGGCAGGGATTTAGATTTCTTCTTCTTAGGGATCTTGTAGAAACTGTTAGTAAGAGATGCTCTCCTAACAAACTTGCCTGCCTCTGTTGTCTGAGATTCTTCATACATCGCTGTCTAAAAGAATGCTCAGTCAGAAAGGACACCTCTTTAACCTGTAGAGAAGGAAGAAGTTTATTCTAATCTTTTACGGAAAAGCCATTTCCAATGTAGGCAACAACGCCCTCCAGCGGACAAATAGAGGGTTAAGGAGAAATTCACGATTTTTGTGAACTTCCTCCACATCCTTCCTACCCTTCTGGTGTTGAATGCAAAGATTTATGATAATGTACAAATGAGGATTTACATTTGTAAGCCTGAAGCTTATAAGATGAAGAATTTTTAAAAGAATAACATAAAAATAAGAATAAAATTGGGTACAAAAATAATTTCAGGTGAGAAAATCACAGCAAACTATAAATTTTAAAACACAAATACCATAAATATAAAATTCAGAAATTTATGTATTTTATTACTTATTTATCTGACACACTTCTATAATACTTTATTTATTTTTAAATTTTTAAATTTTCAATTTTTGTAGGTACATAGTAGGTGTATATATTTTTGGGGTACATGAGCTGTTTTGATATAGGCATGCAATGTGAAATAATCATATCAGGGAGAACGGGATATTCATCTCCTTAAGCACTTATCCTTTGTGTTACAAGCAATCCAGTTACACTTTTAGTGTAATTGTACATTATTTTAAAATGCACAGTTAAATTATTTTGACTATAGTCACACTGTTGTGCTATCAAATAATAGGTCTTACTCATTCTTTCTATATTTTTTGTATTCATTAACCATCCCCACCTCCCTTCTCATCTCCCCACTACTCTTCCCAGCCTCTGGTAACCATCCTTCTACTCTCTATGTCCATGAGTTCAATTGTTTTGATTTTCAGATCCCACAAATAAATGAGAACATGAAATATTTGTCTTTCTGTGCCTGGCTTATGTCACTTAACATAATGAGCTCCAATTCCATCTATGTTCTTGCAAATGACAGGATCTCGTTCTTTTTTATGACGCAATAATACTCCATTGTGTATATGTACCACATTTTTTTTATTTATTCATCTGTTGATGGACACTTAGATTGCTTCTAAATCTTAGCTGTTGTAAACAATGCTGCAACAAACAGGAGTACGGGTACCTCTTCAATATACTGATTTCCTTTCTTCTGGGTATATACTCAGCAGTGGAATTGCTGGATCTTATGGTAGGTCAGGTTTTAGTTTATTGAGGAAACTCCATACTGTTCTCCATAGTGGTTTTACTAATTTACACTCCTACAGACAGTGTACAAGGGTTCCCTTTTCTCCATGTCCTTGCCAGCATTAATATTTTTTGTTTTTATATTTTTTGGTTCCATGCTTCTTAGTTGACTTCATATGACAATAAATTTGTAGTATTTTCTATATAGAAAAAATAAGATAATGCAGTCTTTACTCCAAAGATGTTTGATCAATTTTTTAAATTCACAGTGCATTATGTTAATGTCATGTAAATTTTTAGGAATATAGTCAAATTTGAGAAAGTTACTATCAAGTTACTATGTGTTATGAGACTTCACTACATTTTAAGTTTTCTTATTCTGTAATAAATCCTAAGTATTATGACTGATGACACTCATTAACTAGTTTATTAAGTCTGTATTAGTTTTCTGTTGCTGTATAACAAATTGCCACGGACATAGCAATTTAGAATAACACCTATTAATTATCTTACAGTTTCTGCAAGGCACAGCTAGGCTGGATCTCATAAAGCTGTAATCAAAGAGTCAGCTAAGGTCAGAGTCTTGTCTGAGGCTTGGGAGTCCTCTTCCAAGATCATTTAGTTATTGGCAGAATTCATTTTCTTGTAGCTGTAGAACTCATGGCAACTTGACTCCTCTAGCAGGAGGCTCTCTGCTCAGAAGAAACCTAAGCCTTTTAAACGCCTAACCCTTTTAAAGAACCCACTTGATTGGATAGGGCCCATCAAGGATAATCTCCCTGTTGATGAACTCAAAGGAAACTAATTAGGGACTTTAATTACATGAGCAAAATCCCTTCACCTTTGCCATATGACCTAATTAAAGAAGAGACATT